GAAATTGTTTGGTTGAGTATATATAATCACTCATTAAAGATGTTGCTTCCAGAAATAACTTGCCTTCAGAAAAGCTTGATGGAGAACATTTCATCATTTCCTTAAAATCACTTACCTTATGTAAATTTCCTTCGTGGTGTTCTCCCAAGTGTAGGATATCAAAGTCACACACACACACACACACACAAACTGATGAAAATTCCCAGATAAATTTGTCAACCGAAAGTAACAATATATAAGGGGGACAAAGAAATTAGTTGACAAGTAAAGAAATGCTTTAATGAAATAACCAAATAAGCCATTTATTACGGATATGTTTATTATTTACTGTATCTTTTTTCTTTCCCTACTGTTGCTGCTTTATGAGCACAAACACACATCAACGAAATGATTCACAAAAATTATTCTAATAGTAGAGAAAACAACTTTTAAACAGAAGAGTATCTTATTGTAAGACAGTTTATTTACAGTCTAGTGTGGTGTATATTTAGAGCAGAAATAAGGTGAATGTGGACGATATCATTATCGCTATGCTTGTTGATGTTGTTTCTCATATGTGGGTTCTTAGACTTATTGCTACTGATATTATTATTATTATCGTTAAGAGCATTAGTATCAACAAATATGACTTGAAATTAGATATACACCATGATGTTTATGGTAAATTTTCTCACAAAATGTATTTTTGAGGAGAAAAATATATTTACTCAAAAGAAGAAAACAATTTTTTTTCTATACGTATTTTTTGTAAAATAAATTTTGAAGAGAGAATAAACAATTTCACCTAGATATCAGACCTTACCCCCCACCTCAATTTGAGGTGATGTTTATGAATTAAGATTTTCTTTCACTTTTAATTTTATTTGTTAGTATGAAAGAAACAAAATGAGAGAAGAAATTAGAAATGCTTATTCAGTTTTCTAATTTTATTTCTCTTCCACCTTAAATAATGAAGTCACTTTGGTATGAGTAAATAATTCTTTTCATGTACGGTTGGTTGCTCAGTACTCGTGTGCATATATAAGGGTTGATATCAAGTAAAAATTAATCTACAAGTAGATATACTACTAAATATCTCTAATAATTAGTTTCTCTATTTGTAGCCTAATTAATATTTCGTTTATTTTTGTTGTAGTTATTTGACAACTGATATAATCAATTTAACTCTTATTTATTTACTTTAAAGGATTTCTAGCCAAATGAACTTCCAGCTATTGTTATAATACTCCACTTATTTCTCATTGTGTAATGGCATTTTTATTCCCAGTAAATGAAAAATTTTCATTTAAGTGAACGATTTAATTCCATTTTAAAAATTAAGGAACTGTATTCGTTGTGAAATACTTAGTCACCTGAGAAGTACACAAACAATTTTGTAACGTACAGATTTCAGGATGCATTTGCTTCCCTTAATGAACTTGAATTATACCATTTGTAGGATAAGATGACATCACTTTACTTCCTCCGTTATAGTGTGAAGTAAGATCAGTAAAACCTTCATAAGCATCTGTGGGTCTCTGAAATCTTCAGCAACCAGTCATTCTGAAGTTTTTGGGGAAAACCACGTTAACCAACGTGTAATTATGAGATTGGTTGAAGAGATAAAAATCAGTGCGATATTCCAATCTAGAAAGGCCTAGAAATAGCCATAGCCATTGTAAACATGTGTAATACCTTGTACACCTTCAGTTATCTTATCGCCTATTCCATTTATCGAGAAACTGAGCCATCATCAAGGGGTGAAATCAGAAAGTAATTGTTCAGTTGTCCATATATATATGCCAATGAGTTCGTTCATGAATGAGCGGTGAGGCCATCTCATCTTCAGATAGTTCTAATCAAGCTGCCTAAATCTTTATGTCAGTATAAATAGCTGCAAGCTACTCACATGATTTAGAAGCGTATTAATAACAACAATGTTTGGATACTTGGCTTATGAAGTACCAACATTCAACTTATAGTTAAAAATACATATGTTGTTTATTATGAAGATGGAATCTGGATGACAATATATGCTCTTAAGTGTGCGATAAATGCTGAGATAAGATTTTAGTAACATTTAAACGGACAGGGAAAATCCTTTTAGATATATTAAATAAGAAATGAATTGACGATACAATTTTTTTCAGCTGTAATGACTATTTTAGGTTCGCAAGCTGAAGCACTATATCCTTTGAGACAAACTGTTTTAACTTGGAACAATAACGTAGTTAAAAAAACTTCTTAAAATGTATGCATTTTAGCTGAAGTCTTCTTCAGCTGATTTTAAAACTGTCTGCTTTAATGTTCATAATAATTATTCACTTTATCTCGGACAGGATGACTGATACGATATAGAACCCGCAGTATATATTATTTCAACCATATTACTCACAGTACTTGATACTTGGAGAGCAAACAACGTCATGTTATCTAGTCTCTAGAGCTGACCGATTTCTATCCATCATTTTTTTAAATGGCTTCCAGTCTAGGAGGCTCAACATTGAACTTGGTGAATGCCATAAAGTACGGAACGTAGGTCAGTAGCTTCTTGACGATTGCTCCCAACCAACTTACAACGAATTCACTCCATATACAATACTTTTTAACGGAATAATTGCTAATTAAAAAAGGTATTTAAAATCAGTAACGTATAACGATCAGCTAGAGTGTGGTTATTCCTACTCTGAAGGACAGAATAAATCGAAAATTGGGTATAAGTTTGGTGGTGGTTCATTCAGCCAGTATCAAAATCAGCAATTTAAGCTAACAACTTAAAGAATGGTTATGTAGTGTTTTGCTGCACATTTGAAAAGTCATTACTGCCTCCTGTAAAGTTTCTTCTTTACTTCGTTATTGACTTGAAAAACGGCTGGTTGAAGAAGTTTTTAAAGTGCTTGAGAGTATAAAATACGATTTTTAAAAGTTTTGAAAAGGAGCACTTTGATGCAATATATATATATATAAGTGTGCATCCTATTTATTAACTGATTGTTGACATCCTTCATATTATGAAGTCTAGGCTATTTTTGTAAACTACTAGGGGTTCAGGGAGTTGATGATTAAGAACTTTCGAATTTAGGCTTGGTTTGTGAGGGTTTTAGCTGATATTCATCATGAAGTGACGTCATTTGAATCCAGTGGTTCAATGGTAACGTTCTGGTAGCTGAAAGGTTTAGGTCTTGAGTTTTATTCTTGGCTGGATTATAAGTATGAGCTGAAGAGGAGGGCTGCATTAGGACAAAACGTCATTTCAGTGCTTCCGGGTTTCCAATGTTTCTTCAACTGACATAAATTCATAACGAATATCAACCTGTTAAACGAGAATATTCATTTTCCTATTGGACTGCCAGGATCAAAGGAACCTCCCACGATTCCTTTGTTTTATCGCTTACTTTATAATTCTTTTACACTGAGGGCTATTCTCTTTTTTTCGTTGCTGTTAAACATTTTGGCCTATTCTTTTGAACTTTATTCATAGTTGTCATGCTTGCTATTCATGTTTTGGCTGCATTGTTTAGGACAGATAAGTGAAAACTCTTACTGCAGTAAGATCCACAAACTGAATGTAGACAATGAGTTTTTTTTATCAATTTGTGAAATGTAAGATTTCAACTGAACGTTAGCAGCATAAATTGCCTTTCTATCTTTTGCTTAATACAGTTTTGTAGATCATTATTCTGGAGGCTTTACTGCTTTTACATCACGAAATTTTCAAGAAATTTGCATATACATAATATTCCTGTTGACAGTAGACTTTTTTGTTATCAATGTTTTAAATTGCAGTCCATTCGAGTGTCTATATATTTTTATGATTTTTCCCTTGGGTTCGTAGTGGAACATGGGGGCCCCAGTAGCATGCCTCTATTCCATTCTCTTCTCTGCAGTCTTTTGAACCTGGCTCCACGACTGCCCACAACTTTTTATTTCTTTCCCACATGATCTCTTCCATGTCACCCTCTTCTCGGACGCCCAACTAGTCGTTTCCCACTTAAATTCCACTCAAGGGGTTGGGCTGGCGTGTGATGTCCCCAAACGGACTTCTCAGTGTATGCCCAATCTATCCCCACGTCTACATATTAAGCACTACTTAAACAGATTCATTGTTTTAATCCACCTAAAAGGGTTTTGTAAATTTGTGAATTGAAATGATGGAGAGAATTTTTTTTCCTCATTAAATTCGTTTATATGACTGAGTGTACAATTGTTTTGGTCAACATCAGTTTTATGTAAAGATATATTAAACATGAACCATCATGTTTCCAAGTAAACAGCTTATTTAGAGTAAAACGTACCCAGTTTATATTTTACATCGTTGTATTAGTTAGGGAATATTGATTTTAGAGGTTTTTGGTGGGTTCCGTGAACAGAACAGTCTTTCAGCAGAATAAGTAGTATGCTCAACAAATATGCAGAAGGAAATGGAGATGGATTGGGCGTACACTGAGAAGACCGACTGGGGATATCACTCGTCAGGCCAGTCACTCCAGTAGCATCTAGACAGGAAACGACGAGTTAGGTGTCCGAGGAGAGGGTGACATGGTGGAGATCGTGCGAGGAGGAAATGAGGGGTTGTGGGCTGTTGTAGAGTGAGGTAGAAAAGTTTGCAGAGAACAGAGTGCAATGGAGACGTGCCACTGAAGCCCTATGTTCCATTAGGAACCCAAGGTATAAATAATAATAATAAATAATTTGTGTGAAGTTAGTGTTTATTCAACACTTATTTCATTATTCTTGCCTAGTTTTCTAAACATGATAAATTTATTGTAGATAAATATGTTTACAATGTAACCGTTCCCATAGTTTCCTCTTCGAATGGAAATAAAATTTCAATTTGTTGTATATCTTTTAGTAAAGTTTGGTAAAATGAAATAGTCAAAAGCATCGCTTACTTCTGTTTTAAACAGTCAGTTATCTACTTCATAACGCTATATTCTGTCAGTGAGTAGCCTCCATTGTTCTATAGGTATACTAATTACTCCCATTCTCGTTTTCTTTTATCCATCTTGTCAATAAATTAGTAAACAAATCACTAATCTGATCAAGATAATTTACGGGATTTTACTAACTACTATTGGATTTCTGTTGATCTGTGCACAAATTGGAGGAAATTACACAGTATCAGTTGTCTTAGAGGTAAGTTTTTGATTTGATTCAACTTAATTTGATGATGTAATAATTATGATTTTGATATATTTTTGAAAAGCGTTTACTATCAGTGTATGATAGATGCACTAAGACACGTTTATTCTGATTTATTATGTTGATTGTCTCTTAGTCAGTTAGTATGTAATGCATCCGTTTAATTCAACTTGTTAGAAGATATTTATTTTCAAAAATGTGTTCATGACTGACTAATCTATTTGTAAGCAAATATAAGGAATAGATATATTTTAGTAGATATATTCTCATACTTTAACTTACCATCTGTAACATCAACGTTATTACTATATTGTATTGGATCCTAACACTTTGTAATTTATATCAGGAAAAGATATCTCTAAAATGGTTTAGTTGATACTGGATAATAGTTGAAAGTAAGATAAAAACGTAAGTTCCATGCGGATTAGAACAAGACATATAACAGAACAATAATTATATTTTTCAATTATATCCTCTTCACCATTGTTATTTCAAAACACTTATGACACTGACTGACAAATCTACATGACTGGCTTAATTCTCTATAGATATTTAGCTATATATATTTGAGTAAAATTTGAAGAGGATCTAGCCTAAAATGGTATTATACGCTTATATGTCTTGTTTTAATTTACATGATGGGAACCTGTAAAATTCTATGAAGATTTTCATCTATCAGTCTCGAGATTACTAACCTGGATCTTTATTAGTTACAGTGACAAGTATACAAAAAGGTCTGTTATCATTCATGTGAAAGAATTTTTTTAAAATCCTAAAATCTGACTAATGACATAGAGAGAAGGACTCAAGGTATACAACTTTACTGTCAATAGACTATCAGCTTACAAAACTGACTACTTATTAATTCAGAACAAGGCAAACGATTACCTTAGTATATCACAACCAACTCCTTTTATGCCTTCCTATATACTAATAGAATCAAAAATATGGAAATACTTGGGAGAAGCGAATTTCTTCAGTATCCTGAGCATTCCCCAAGAATCATTTACTAGGTGAACAGCGAATTTTTAACAGTTACAATTATCAGGCAAATGATGACATCAAGTCATTAAATTATAAAGCTTAAAATTTTCGGGATGCTAAACGAAAAAGGAGAAATATGTGAACTTATCTATGTCAAATTTCTTAAAATAAATCGTTGCCAACTAGACTTCGATGAACAAAGTGAAATGTGAATAGCCTTTTGTGTATACACAAATGCTTGTTAGACTTATCGTGCTTATACGTTACCACTAAACTTAAGTGTTTTGATATATGTTTCACATGACAGTGCTTGTGAATTGATCCTTTATGAATCTTGGTCTAAAAGAGAGTGAAAACACAGAACCGTGTTGACAACTTCACCTACTGGGTGAAAAACGGCATCTTTAATAGGCTATTCATTGATGTACACTCACATTCACCGATAACTTTGAGTAGCAATTTGAGAATATTTAAGGTGCGTTTCTCACCGCCCAAATGCAAATTGTTGCCCCAGGATTGGTCTCCAACAGTACCTCACCGTGGCTAACAATAGAGAGTGAAGTGGTTAAGTGTGTTGACCACTTCACTTGCCTGGGAAGTAGCATTAGCCCTGGTGGCTCAGTGGCCGATGAAATCTCTGCACGGATACAAAAGGCTCAATTGGCTTTCATCAACTTACGCCACCTATGGCGCCGCCATGATATCCGATTGTCTACTAAGGGTCGCGTATACTGCACAGTAGTCTGGTCTGTTCTACTGTATAGCTGTGAAACATGGCCATTGAAGGTAGAAGATATGGGAAGGCTTCAAGTGTTTGACTACCATTGCCTTCGTAGTATAAGCCGTATTCCGTGGTGTCACCACCACGTGAGTAATGCAGAAGTCAGGAGTAGAGTCTTAGGGAGAAGAGGTAAGTCAGTTGACAAAGTTGTGAATCTTCATGGACTGAGATAGTTGTGGCACCTACTACATATGCCTATTCACCAATTGCCTCGTCACACAATGTTGGCCGAGATAGACCCAGACTGGAAAAAGGCTCGAGGTGGCCGGACTAAAACATGGCATCAATATATAAAGTGTTTGACTGTTGGTTTGAGCCTTGTGGGGCGATGCAGATTAGGTGGTTGGGGTTCATGGGACAAGAGGAACGAGTGATTCGTTGAAGACTGATTCTAGGTGATATAGCTCAGAACTGGTGTCAGTGGCGCAGATGTATACATACATTATCATCGTCTTAACGACGCTATACCGAATCTCACCACTTTCTGATTCTTCGTTTCTTTTTTTCGTACTTTGTATTTCTTTTGGCTGCATTCTCTTATCTTCGTCTTGCCCCTCACTGCCTTTTTACTTGGTGTACTGATGTGAGTTGTGGCACCTCGGATAGTTAGCAGTAATACCTGGCCCTAGATTTTTCTGGATGGATGGATGGATTCATTGATGAAATGTCAAGTCATATGAAACCGAAACTGGGTGGCCTTCATCAATTAACTTTATCTCCATTGCTGGTGAGATACATTTTCTCAAGATTTCTGACAATTCAGGTCTTAACAGCAACGTTCTCTTATGCTGAAAACACCAAGCAGGTTTTTCCAAGGTTAAAAGTAGTAAACTGGACAGAGCAAGACAGATGTTGAGGTTGTGAACTTTCAGCAGCTAAGACAAATTAAAAATATGTGAGGTATGCTGAGGCAGCATCTCTCTCGATGTATGATTTCAACCGAAGTATTATTAAACGGTAGTGATACTAACCGCGACTACATCAGATCATTGAACTAATGCATGATGTCTTGAACTTGTTTCGAGCTAAACAAGGAAGCTTAGGCTCCCCAGATGGGATACTTAGGATAATACAAGTCAGTGACTTGAGATGTTTTATACTGTATCTCTAAATTGATCACAGTAGTGAGAACGCTTTCAGTTTTTTTTGTTCTTACAATGGTTAACTTTTAAAATAATCATGATTAACTTGTTTTTGCCCTAATATACATTGCTATCTACCTTGAAACCAATACATTTCCGTTCCATTCCTCCTTATTTTTGCAGTGAAATAGGTCAGTGTGAACCTTTTGTACTTGTGTGCAAAATTTTAAAGGGACTTTTCTGTCTGTAACTTGATTATTTAGGTGTTTCACAGCTCGTTTCTTTCTCTTTTGTATCTGTTACAGCACGTTCTCTCACACCTTTGAAATTTTGTTTCTGACTGGTATTCATTGACATTGATTCTAATCAAGAGTCATAATTCTTTTCTTTTCCCCATGTTCTTGATCAACTCTATTGTTATTATCTCTATAGCCTGGAAGTAATTTACTTTTCAGCATGTTGAATGATTTTTAGCGAATGTTTAGCCGTGTTTATCACAGCTTATTTAATCAAAATCACCCAGATTTCAATCAAACGCAAAATATACATTGAAAATATACAACATATGAGTTTGACTTTTATTAAAGATACAGTATATAATGCTTCATCTTATATAAAGAAAAACTTTGAAGTATGTATATTGTTTTGACTTATTAAACACGGTAAACCTTTACCAATATATGCATAGATGCATACTGGTGATTCAGACGGATCTGGCGCTCAAATTACTCCTGGACATTTCTACTATATCTATGATATGGATACTTACAATCATATCATCTGCAAATGACAATGTATCATTTTAATTTTATGATAGTACAGATATAACAGTTGTGTAGAGAAAAAGATAATACTCTGTGATAAATTAATTCACTTAGACTATTATTTCATTAAGTTTACAGGGATGGGTATGTGTACACATGGCCTTGACAATATGTTGTTACTCTTCAGCATGAAAAGAAATTTATTGAATAATTATACAGATAAAAAAGCATAAACCGAAATAAAATAACACAGAGGGACTAATTAATTAAAGAATATAGAGTAGAATAAATCATGAAAAAAAAATGTTACATCAAAGAAGATACAACATTGAATTTTAATGTAAACAGATATTTGTTTAAAAAAAAACTACATTTTATTGCATTTTACCTTGTTACAGTAAAATTTATGAAATTCCACTTTTGAATTGTTTCTCTTCAGAGAATATCAATGATGATATGATTGAATATATTGTCTCATTATATGTCAATGAAGTTGGAAATTCTTAAATATTATAGGCTTTGTTTAAATTAAAATATTTTATATGCATTAGCTTGAGTAAATCCCTTATATGTTGATAATATGCTATGCATAACTATGAAAGCTATCTAGTGAATTAGGGATTTAGATTTGCTTATTCCATGAGAAAAAAACTACATTTCTAACAGAAATGGAATAAGCTGACTGCTTATTCCAGTGATTATAAGGATCAACTTTGAAGTTATTCATATGCTGTAGCAATTGTTTTTTATAACAATGTACAGTTTCAAAAATTTGTATGGCTAACTATTTAACAGTCTGTTATAGAGACGTTGTTTTGTAGTGTTTAAACAATTATACTTACGTGCAAAACATAGCACATTTTAATGGATACAATCCCCTGATTACTTTCATGAAATATAACATCCCGTCATGATCAGGAATAAATCATTTTATCACTCACACAAAATGAATTAGTTTTCTTAATGTAAGCTTACTTGTTATGTAGATCAGAGATAACGAAACATTGAAATTCACTTAGTGTTTTCAATAGTGTTTCAATTTGAGTAGCTATAATACTTTCCAACCAGCTGAGAAACAAGCTTTATAGATTGTGGCCTAGCTTAGAGTATATTATGGAGTGACCAGTTCCATGATTGAATTATGAGGAAAAGAACTACAACTGTCAGAGTAGTCAGTTGCAGTCCATCAAACTAACAGGGAGCAGAAACAGCTAAATTCAGTACGAAAAATCCTGATAAAACAGGTTGAAGGAAAACCACTGCTTTAGTAATACTTACAATCATACAGGATTGCAGTGCATTACTGGGTAAGATGATAGTTTTAAAATCCAACTTAGGTGTCAATCGAAAAGGGAAAACTGAACCTTGAATCATATTATAGTCACTGAAAACTTTTAACGGTAATAATTTGTACTTACTCCAGATATTTGGAGTAGTATGTTGACCTCACCATACAAGAAAGCCTTTTGGGTTATGCAGAATAATCAAAACCCTATATGAGACCAGAAACTGGACACTCAAATAGACAATAATTGCGTCTTTGATTACATATAACACGCCCTGACAAGGTATTTTTTACTGGAATATATTTAAATAGACCTCCTGTTAGATGAAGGTGCTGACAGGATTCAGAGTCTTCTAGAGTGATGATCTGAGAAAATTTCTAGCCACAATAATGCGAACGGTTGTACCTAGACTGGTATGCGTTGGTGTATGATTTAACGATGTGGAGTAAAGTGGTTGAGTATGCTGATCACTTCACTTGCCTGCGAACCTTGAACAACTCTGGTGAGTTAGTGACCGATGAGATACAAGCATGGATACGTAATGCTTGCCTGATCTTCCACATCCACGTATGCTGCCAGTATGGTCACTCATTGTCTATGAGGGTGAAGTGAATTGTGCTTCAGTTCTCTTTGTTCTACTATATGGCTGTGAAATATGTTACCTGGTCACAGGATATAACTTGTATGATTACTCATTGATTTTTATCATTACTTTTAGGCTTTTATCAACTTCCTTCTGGTTGGACAACTTTTATATTTTATAACGTTCTATATTACCAACTATTATAAGACATGCAGTTCATACTGTAGTTGTTATTTGTCGAAAAGTAGTCGATACAATCTACATCAATTTCCCTATCATCAAAATAAAAAAACTAGTTCACTATTCAAAAGCAAATGGAATCAAACAAGGAAGGATAGTCAAGTAGATCATTTTAAATCATGTCAGATCATCAGCCAGAGTAATATTGGCCATCAAAATCAAGGCATAGGATCTTCTAAAAAGTCTATTGTTATATTCCAACCAGATAATTCACAGTGTTATAAACTGGCAACATTTAAAAAGGCAAAAATGCAACAATCTCAGGCTGATATTATGAATCAGAAGAAGAGCACGTTTTCAAATGATAAACACATGAAACATGTACATTCTACACCTAAACTAAATTTACGCTGTGAATACATAATTCAAGGATGTTTCTACAGTAAGTCTTGATATTTCAGTAGTCACGACATTCTTATTCCATTAATAAAATATCTTATTCTCTTTTTATAAGCTTCAGATAGCCAAAGTAAATATAGGCTGCAATATTCCTGATGGTATTTCATTTTTATTTGATTGATTACAAGTTGAAACTACTTAACTGATATGTAACTCAGGCAGATGGTTACAGTGTCTTTGTGTTTTCTACATTAGATATCGAAATCCCTTTATTTGTAAGTCTACAGATCTGGATGAAGATGAAGGAGTAAATAAATCTTTTGATGAAATGTCTATGGTGAAATACAAACGCTCAAAGAACGTAATGAGATAACTTTCAAAATAATACCCTCACCCCTGTTGGCAGACCTACCCCTATGAGGATGTCTAGATATTATTATCATTTATTATTTGTCCCCTGGGTTCCTAATGGAACATAGGGCTTCAGTAGCACGTCTCCACTGCACTCGGTTCTCTGAAGTCTTTTGAACCTAGCTCCACGACAGCCCACAAGCTCTCATTTCCTCCTCGCAAGACCTCCTCCATGTCACACCTACCTCAGATGCCCAACTAGTCGCTTCCCATGGGGATTCTACTCGAGGGCCTGACGCGTGATGTTCCCAGTTGGCCTTTTCAGTGTATGCCCAATCCATCTCCACTTCCTTCCACCGCATATTTGTTGCGTGACAGGTTCTTGGTTGGTTTGTTACCAGAGCTCCTGGTTGCTTATTATTTCTGGCAATCCATCTGATCTTCAGTAGTGAGTGTAAGCAGTTGTTGATGAATGTCTATGGTTTATTGGAAATCCCTTTCGTAATACGCCAAGTCTCTGAACCATACAGAAGCGCTGACTTGACTGAGTTGGTGTTGAAAATCCGGATCTTGTTCCACATGCTGAGTGCAGAATATATTCACACTGGTTTCAGGCTAATGAACGCCTGTCTCGCTTTTCCGATCCTGCCTGCTTTGACATTCTGGTCTGTGCCTTCGCCTGTAGTTGAAACAATGCTGCCTAGATAGGTGAAAGAGGCAACTTCCTTTAAGTTTCTCCCGTTGATGGTGATTGGAGTTTGTTGTTGTTGGTGTTGTTGGTTGGGTATCAACATCACCTCTGTCTTCTCTACATTCACTTGAAGTGCCGTCTTCGCTGCTTCACCTTGCCTCTTCTGTCAACTTGTTGGTTTTCTCCTGTAGATCTTCAAGTTTGTGTGACATTGGATATAAGTTATTGGTTGAGAAATCCAAATCTTCTAGGTTGTTCTCCTTGGTCCGGTCTGTGTATCCTTCTCTTCTCGCTCGTCACTGTTTGTTACATGATCGAGTCCAGCTGACCACAATCATGAATATGATGGGTGATAGTAGACAGGCTTGTTTTACTCCTGTCTTCACTTCAAAAGCATCGCTGAGCTTCCCATTGTGAATTACTTGGCATGCGGCGTCATCATGTAGTTGTTGAATGAGATTGATAAAGGTTTGTGATATTCTGTAGTGTTTAAGCAGTTTCCAAATTACCTCTCGGTCGACGCTGTAAAAGGCCTTCTCATAGTCGATGAAGTTGAGGATGCCTAGATGGCGTCCGAATGTTCATTATACTGTAATCTACTTGGTGGCTAGCAGTGGAATACAGGCTGGGCAATTCAACCTAGTTTTCCAGCAGGAAACTACAAGTATCAGTCAACGACAACTGATATCCTTTGTACCAAAGGTGGATAGTGCTCTAGAGTTACAGCGATATATATCGGATTCCAGTCTCAATGGGAAGACACCATTCACTGAGGGTCCGGGACACTCACTTGGGAGTCATGAATAGAATGCGAAGAAAGATTTCCACTGTTATCCCTGTAGTAGACTACACTACTACACTCACATTTATAGTTGCCAGTAACCATTCTTCATGTTTTATCCTACTAGTTATTATCTGTGAGCATGAAATGTAACGCGTTTATCTGAGTCATAAAAAGTTCCAACTTCAATCCCAAAACCATTTGAGCGGACAAAGAATATTCTTTTCAGTAACTTCTATGGGTTCTACAGTTACATGTTGAGGAATTACGCTTCAGCATTACAGAGATTCCGCTTGCTGATTTGTGAATAATAATATGTAATTAAGGAAGACCATTAAGACAAAGCATGTGTGAAAGTTTCAGGTGAAAACAATTGTTACTAGGATTCAAAACATAATAATTAATTGAACAAATAATTATACGAACAGTATCAATCAATAAAGCGTTGATTAATTAAAGCATTAAGAGGGTGCTTACGACAACTGCGTGAGATATACTAGGAAAAATAAAATAGATTAACAGAAGTCGTGAAAATTATTTCAGATTATTAGGCAGAAAGTGTATCTATGGTATAGAATTAGAATATCTGGATCAGGTTGCTAACGTATTCACGCATTCCGAATGGCATCAAGGTAACTCCAAAGGTAACAATTGCTTCTGCTGAACGCAACTCAGGTTGCTTGATCCTGAATGCCACTGCTTCTTCAGTTTGAAAGATTCTGAGCCAAGTAACTTCTGGTCAGCTGGTGGGAACGCGATATAGGACAGAAAATGACTCATTTGTATCCATTTCATGGTTTGTTTCAACCAAGTGTCCTAATATGCAACTGGTAGTGATCTTCACCAAACCTTTATTTAATCATCATCATTATCATCCATATCAACATAGGACCAAGCATTACTGCGTAACACTCCGAGTTATCACAGCTCAGTACAGTACATCAAGTGGAAAGGTAGTGAGGTGAAGGATGAAGATAAGAGAACGTAGTCAAAAGAAATATAAAGTATGAGAAGAAAGAAAGGAGGAATGACAAAATGGTGAGATTCGATATTGCGTCGTTAAGATGCGGATAGTGTGTATGCATCTGCACCACTGACGTCGTTCCTGAGCCATATCCCCTAGAGTCCGTCTCCAATCACTGGTTCGTCTTGTCCCGCGAACCCCAACCACCTAGTCTGCATCGCCCCACAAGGCTCAAACCAACAGACTAGGAAGTGTTCACGAGCACGGAAAATTAAATTCCTAGAGCAGCGGGCAATGTAGCTGGTTCCATAGGAACAGCCAAACCGATAAACACAACATGAAGTGGTGGGTCTGGGAGATTCAGCTTATACCTTGAACGTTGCATATATAATCCGGTTCATTGTTGCTATCAATACAAGAGTATTAAACGTAACCGCAATAATATTTTACGTAAAAGTACAGAAAAGCTATTAAAAAACTTGTTAATAATAAACAACTTTTAATTAGTCAGCCTGATAATGGAATAGGAATAGTTTTGCTTGGTGAATGGCATTACATAAGCAAAATGAATGTAGTGCTGAGTGATAAGATAAAATTTCAGAAACTGAACGCTCAAAAGGATCTGAGTGATGAAATGGAAAGTCGACTAACTAAATCTCTGGGGAAACTGACAGAACAATATATGATATAATCTAGCATGTATGATGTCTTGAAACCCACGGGCACTCACGTTCTGTGGCCACATAGCTCGCCTAAGACTCACAAACCAGGAGTGTCTTTGAGACCAATTCTTAACATGCAAAATTCTCCTTACTATGTCCTATTTAAGTGTCTGGTCACCATTCTTCAATCAGTTACATTGCTGACTGCTCTAGGAATTTAATTTTCCGTGCTCGTGAACACTTCCTAGTCTGTTGGTTTGAGCCTTGTGGGGCGATGCAGACTAGGTGGTTGGGGTTCGCGGGACAAGACGAACCAGTGATTGGAGACGGACTCTAGGGGATATGGCTCAGGAACGACGTCAGTGGTGCAGATGCATACACACTATCCGCATCTTAACGACGCAATATCGAATCTCACCATTTTGTCATTCCTCCTTTCTTTCTTCTCATACTTTATATTTCTTTTGACTACGTTCTCTTATCTTCATCCTTCACCTCACTACCTTTCCACTTGATGTACTGTACTGAGCTGTGATAACTCGGAGTGTTACGCAGTAATGCTTGGTCCTATGTTGATATGGATGATAATGATGATGATTAAATAAAGGTTTGGTGAAGATCACTACCAGTTGCATATTAGGACACTTGGTTGAAACAAACCATGAAATGGATACAAATGAGTCATTTTCTGTCCTATATCGCGTTCCCACCAGCTGACCAGAAGTTACTTGGCTCAGAATCTTTCAAACTGAAGAAGCAGTGGCATTCAGGATCAAGCAACCTGAGTTGCGTTCAGCAGAAGCAATTGTTACCTTTGGAGTTACCTTGATGCCATTCGGAATGCGTGAATACGTTAGCAACCTGATCCAGATATTCTAATTCTATACCATAGATAAACTTTCTGCCTAATAATCTGAAATAATTTTCACGACTTCTGTTAATCTATTTTATTTTTCCTAGTATATCTCACGCAGTTGTCGTAAGCACCTTCCTAATGTTTTGATAAGCTATCATTTCACGTTACTACATTAGTCGTCTAATCATTTTGATGACTAGTTTTTATATGCAGTCAATAGTTCATTGCAAACTGTCGTTAGTCCATTGTTTATGTTCAGGTAGTGTGTATTTCTGTATAATAATTCTCAGATTGCTGTTTCGTTACTTGTTTGTCAACGTTTCTAGGAATCTGGTAAATCATGAGATGGTTAGTATTTGAGATGCTTCAAAATAAACTTTTAAAACTGAACATTAAAAAAAGGGATAATTATTATCATTATTATCATTTGTTCCTTGGGTTTCTAGTGGCTTCAGTAGCACATCTCCAATGCCGTCTGTTCTCTGCAGTTTTTTGAACCTAGCTCAACGACCGCACACAAGCTTTCATTTCTTAATATTTGGCTTAGGGTGGACAGAAACATGATTCCTCATTAGTTCTTGCAATGACTTAGGTCTTCCTTCTTTGGGAGTTTGACAAATTAACCCTTCTTCACATCTGCAGGTACCTTGCCTTCCTTCCAAACCTTCTGCAATAGCGTTGTGAACATGCCCTCTGTTGTCTCTGCGTCTGTTTTCAGTGCTTCTGGAGGAATTCAGTCTATTCCTACTGCTTTCTTGGATTTCAGCAACTTTATGGCATTCAGGACTTCTGCTTTTGTCAGAGAGCTTATGCTTACTGGTAGTTCTGTAGATGGTCGTGGTATTTATGGACCAGCTGCAGGTGGCGGTTGATTCAAAAGTGTTTTGAAGTGGTCAGCTCATGGTTTCCTTTGTTTCTCCTCTTTGGTAACTAGGATGCCTTCACTATCTTTCACTGGTTTCGTCTTCGTTGATCTTTCACCAGATAGTTACCTGGTTATTTGACATAGAATTGTCAGGTCTCTGCTGCCAGAAGCCTGTTTTGCTTCACTTGCCGATATGAAAAGTGATAATAATAGTAGTTATTATAATGTGTTTACACATATAATGCTCAAAATGTACAGACTATTACTCTTTTCCAGATATCATTCATTTTTATCGTGTATCTTGGGTAGTATTCTCAACAAGTGTAGAGTATGAAGTGTGAAAGAGTTGCTTTTCTGCGTATACTAATCATTTAGTAGTTACTTATATTCAAATTAGCTACAAGTTCTTTACTTGAATTAGTGCAATGTCAAAAGTATTACTTTACAGTATTTTAATCAGTTTTCCTTGTAACTGTTTCTCTTTATTTTTTAATGTAATCTAGTTGGAAGTTTAGTCAGTGTGATTTATTATACAAATATATTTGTTAAAATATTTTATACTGGTGTATTGAATACTAATTTGGAAATATTTTGGCCAATAAATAAGAATACTTGGAATCAGTACACAAAAGTCAATACAGGTCATGACAAGAAGAATAATATCATAACAACAAAAATTGATGATCAGCATCATCATGATTATGACAATCAACAGAATAATAACTATCATGGCGTCAACTTTATAAAAAATATTTACAGTTATAATTATAATAACTTTTATTCATACAACTTAATCCCTGATGGTCTAATTATGCTAAAGAACAGTCCATTCATGATACATCCTAATAATAATTTAAATGCTACAGTATTTAATAATTATATGAACACTACAATTACTGAATCATTTAAACAAAATACCAGTGTTCAACAGATTATTTACTTGAATTGGTTACAGTTAGCCAACAATGCATTATGGATTCTACTGATCATTATACAGATACCATTTATGATAAGATTAAAAAAAGTAAGTAAGGTGTAATAATGAACAAATAACGTTGACACTGCTCTGGCTCTTTATTTATTTATTTTATGAGTAAACACTCAAATTAGTATTCGAGATGAACTATTGTCAACTGATAAACCATTCGAAACCTAGCTACACTGGAAATCTGTTCCATCCTAGTATGGACTGACTCCTCAGCATTTTGCACCCATGACCCTACCAGGGGTCGAACTCAGGACCTTCAGATTTCACGGCGAATGCGCCAACCATTCAGCTACTAAGTCATAGTTCAGTTCTCAACAGCCTCCTACTTCTATCGGTTCGCAATGTAGCTCAACTATCACCGAAGGTATTCAGTTTGTATCCGCTTGACTTCCGACTGACTGACCGAACGGATTAAGCCTCATTCGAACTTTGAGATATCGACATCGAACTATGTCATTAGTGAGGACTACGAGGTAATAGAGTTCCAAGTTTATGGGGACGAATGGTTAATGTGTCAGCCATGACAAGTAAATACCAATCAGTATGTCACTGGAGTCAGTCAGAAATCAACTAAATAGGGACTCAGAAAGTAGCTAAAGGTTTAAAATATCAGTTGGTAAAATCATGCTAGGCTTTCAGTTGTGCCTAACCTGAACAGTTGTGAAGTCTCAGGTAAAAATATATCAGCAAACAGAACAAGAGGAAAAAAATGCCCATCACCCCTAGTCGTAGTACACATATTAGTGGGTATTTGAGAAGACACGGCTTTACGAAAGCTATGTCCTACACCTAAGAGATGGTGGTGGTAAGTAAATGACGCATTTACTGTGTTGAAATCGGAACAAATCGACGATTTCCTCACATATAAAAACGCGGTAGTAGGCGACATTCAATTCATTCATGAGATAGAAAATGAAAAAGGAGAATCACCAATGCTGAAGTGCAGAGTAAAAGGAAGAACAGACAGTGGTTTGGATACTACGATCTAAATGAAACCGAAACATTCCAACAGGTATCTAAATTTCAGGTCATCTCATCCAGTGTCAGTTAAGACAGGTTAAGTCAAACATCTAAATAATAGAGCTTAAATGTCACTAGTCACTCTAAGACGTAAATAATGGAATGAAAAGACATGAAAGAAGCTTTAATAAACAATGATTATCCTCACAGTTTATGGAGAAGTTCGTACAAACACACACTATATACGGAAAAACAGAAATTTTACGTGAGGTCCTCAGCAAGGTTGTAATTAGGATGGCGTTTAAACCATTCAAACTTACTCAGAGATAAGCTTTGTTAGTCTGACGATCTGAAAGATTCAGTAAGACAAATCAACCTACCAAATTCCATGCAGTGACTATGGAGTGAAGTACTTAGGCCAGACTAGACGGTAGGAGTCAGTTTGATTAACGAAACATAGGAATTTCGCTAACTATAGACTAAGAAACACCAAAAAGATCAGTAATCTAGAAAAAAATCGACTATCTCAACGCACGTATTAACATACAACCGCACAATAGGGTAGGATATAACCACTGTACTTAAATCCAAATCAGTTAGGTGGAGAGAGATATTGACGACTGAGTCTTTGTGCATCCAATCAACATTCAACACCTGTTATAGGAATGACTCAACATCTATACCACATACGTAGTACGACAAAAGAAAAGAATATAACGTGAAAGAACTATAAAACTTAGATGTTCGAAGTGAGGTGATTACATTAATTTAATTGTTGACAATAATTTATACTCGAAACGTCATCCAGTAGATAATACTGTATCATTGTGCTCTTTATATCAAATAAACAAGTATAATATGGAACTCAATGCATCCACAATCCCCAAGTTTTACACTTACAGTAAATCGGATAGCTAATGATGAATAACAGGCAAATTAATTAATAATATAAACAGTTGGACCCAGTTAATATGACGATCGTCATAATTATGTTTCAATAAAATGTATTCAGTCGTAAGATTTTGTTATCAAGTAATGGAAGTTCATATTAGACTCCTGAAGCCAAGGAAGACGTACCACAGCTTCTTTCTGAAAAGACACTTCTGGTTTCATTCTTTTGTTGGCTGCAACCTCAGAGAACTTAAGAAATTTTGAATCATGTCGTTTGCTGATTACGTTGAAGGATTTCAGGGTACCTACCTAGTGCGCTGCATCAACTGGATGCCAAATAACTGAACTATTGAAAGCACGTATCCCCCAGAGACATAGGCTTTTTACTACGTTTTCAAAGAATCTAAGGCATAGCATTCTCTTTGTTCTATCAGTATAACTGCTACTGCAGATTCATCTAAGCTTGTAAACACAATTAAAAGTAATGTGCGAAGGAAACATCACTACTGAGTAAGTTGAACAGTCAGAGAATACTCAGATTTCATCAGCCAAATTGGAGTGGTCTAAACACCAGGCGACCATTTTATTCCTTTGAGCTCTTTAAGCTGAATTAGTTCAGATAACCTGAGTCTAGCTGTTTGAGTGGTATGGTAATGACTATCAATTTTCAAAAGAGTGACAAATTCCACAGCCTACGTTGACATTTTACACAACTGATGGTTTTTCAACTGCTCAAGTGACATGACAGTTTTGTGTCAAAAATCGTTGCTTGTGATCTTTGCTGAGTGTTTTCCAGCGGGAACTTTGTTGTCGCCACAGTTGAGCAGTTGATACATACTATTTACTCTTGTGATGAATAGACATCTGAAGAGTACCATCATTTCTATGTTGCAAGGCGACATCTAAAAAGTTAAACTTTTCATAGCTTTCATGTTCTGTGGTTAACTGGATGTTTTTGAGCATCATTAGGGAGTTCTAGTAATTAGGATACATGGCATAAGTTGTTGTACACGACTGATGTATTGTCAACATATTCAGTATAAAACAGCTCATCGTAAACAAGCGAAATAAAATGGTATCATGTTATTTTACCCTAGTCGTTGTTGTTTTTTCTGTTCAAGATTCTATTATTTTCGTCACCAGCAGTTTATATTTTATAACATCGTTTACATATCCTATGGGTACTCTACTGCACCAGACAGTTTATAAGGTGGATATGAACCCCCAATAGATGTGTAGGTGAGGTAATCTTATTAGGTCAAAGCATAGCGCTGCTGTTATTCCATACTAGACAAGTTTATTTGTATTCAAGTATAGTGGTATTTTATTTAGGAAAAAGACTGTCTGAGCTCAGAAGTGTATTCTGTTTCAACTAGATCTCTATCATAGGTGCAATAATAATATATAGGGTTATAACTCAATCGAGCCATTAATCAAGGGGTAGAGATGTGATAAATAATAATTACAGATTCTATGTAAGTCATGAAGATAATAAATTTGAGAAATCAAAATGCAAATAATCAACAGAGTAATTTTTTCATTAGCTCTAGCTGCATTTCGTTACAGAGATATCACATTATCCTACTCTTTAGGATGACTACGAGTTAGTACATGCATAGTGATAGCCGAGATTTTCTAATCTCAATAGCGTCAATCATTTTATATTCTGTTATAATTTAATGCTCTCCGTTCCCTACTAATCTTGACTGATTACTCTGACGCTTGTACTTGACATCACAGTTAGTGAATGATATTTGGTAGGTTAGGTTGTTTCACATAACTAAATCTACTGGATCTTTAAGCGAAAAGTTTTTCTCTGAGTCAATTGGTTGGTTTATATGCCACCCTAATTCCAGTACTGTTAGGAACTACCCGTTACATTTCTGATGCCCCTTTTTTAGATAGCAACATTACGGAAGATTTTAATTCGCTCTTACTCGTTTTGTTACTAACAGTTATATTATTACTTCTATTCTTTCCTAAGAATCCTAGAAAAATGTTTTTTAATTACACTGTACCACTGTGCCCAACTTTATTCTTATACTTTACTGTTAGTGTTAGTTACAGGAGATTACCAGTCTGAAAACTTCTGAAAGCCTCAAAGATGACTACACTTTCTCATTTGCAATTTTCTGACAATATGCACTGAACTATCTATGGAAGATAAACATACGGCTCTTAAACCTAATAATAAGTAAGCCAGAGAAGTCTTAGAATGATGTCATCATTATGATTTTGTTGAACATTAGAAATTAGGTTGGTTTTTACCAAAATGTTTGCTGTACTCACTTCAATTACAAGCACACTGCGGGATAGAATTTTAATTTATCCAGAAATATACTATATGCCATTCAATATACTGATGGCAAACTTATTAAGTATCAAGTATTTTTATCAAGCTACCAAATTTTTCTGAGATTTTTAATATCTGTTACTTAGCAGACTATAAGCTTCATTACACTTCTGCCTTTGTATGCAATCTTCTTTCAATCAATAAGAATCCCTAGCTCATATGGTTGAACAACCTCATCATCAATGAATTCCATTCACAAGATAGACCTCTTACAATCTAATCCTCTGCGTAGTTGTTTATAATAGAAAAATGATCATTAGTCAAAAAAAAAATCAAGTTGTGTTACGAGTTTCTCTGATTCTAACAAATCAGATAGATCGACGGTCAGTCCATTAGAGCCAATAATAATAATAATAATAATAATAATAATAATAATAATAATAATAATAATAATAATAATAATAGCTTTATTCTGAAAGCTATTTCACAAATACTCTACAGAATTTTCAGCACGTCATATAGCATCAATTCAATTGAGACAGTGTATATGTATACATAGCAAAATGAAAATAAGTACAAATTACATGAAGAAAGGATAAAAAATATTCACTCTGTCTACAACTTTCTTCAAAATGCCCAGTCACCTTAGGCAGACAATCACATTGGCAATTAGATTCATAATACATAAAAAGTAACACGCTCATCTTCAGTTAGTTCGTTTTCAAAAACAGAAGTTGATTAGTTAGTTCACTTCTAATGCTTTCTTCATTCCACAGCAAACGAGCTAAATGCGGTATCGTAGAGTTTGTGTATTTTGTAGTACGTGAATAGAGTCTTTAATACTTGCTCCCCGTCTTTCCATATGACCTACACGTAGATAGCTTCGAGTGAA